GAATAGGTGAATTGCATGTCTCCATGGGTGTGGGCATCGGTAGTTGGGGATCTAGGCGAGCGATACAGTGGCGGATGAAATCGTCATGGCACCAGTGGTTGGGGATTTATGGTGGGCGACCTGAGGTTGGTTGGGTGAGAGTCTTGGGCGAGAGTTCTGGGTTGTCTGGCAAGGGGATCTACGGTGGGCAACCAGAGGTTGGTTGGACGAGAGTCCTGGCGAGAGTTCTGGGTTGTCACTTCCTTGAACGTTTATATCTGGGGCAAGTAGTTGTAATCCAGGAAGGTATAAACCTCTCCTATTTTTGGTTAGTTGGTTGGGCGGTTGATGGTGTTGGGCGGTTGATCTGCGCCGATCATCTGTGTAGTTGCGTGATCCGCTTACTGGTCGGCGAGTTCCAGGGGAGTTTGGGCGACTGGTTGAGCGAGGCTGCTGATAGTGGCGGTGAGCAACATTGGTGGTCGCCCGAAGTTCGTGGGTGGTCGGTGGTGGTCGCCCTGATATATAAATGTATATATATATTTTTGAGCTGAGTTGAAGACGATTGGAATATTGAGAGGTTGAGAGAGTGTTTTGGTTTTCCTTTTTTGCATTCGCCACAGAAGGTCTATTCTTCTTGGATTGGGTCTTCAATTTGTCACGGGGTAATTTGAAGTATGTGCTGAGGCGTGCATCCTTGAGGCGTTCAGTAAGATATTGGTGTTTGTGACCCGTCGAAAAACCTGGAAGATACTTGTACGACCATAACATTGAAAGGGAAATGAGTTATTCAAAAATGTGTACTTTCTTATTATGCTGAGCTTGCAACGACTGTGTCAAAAAGGAGGCTAACTAGTCTCAGCCTTTTTCTTTCTAACCCCCTTAAAAAGATACTTATATTAACTAAAGCGTAACTGCATCGACTTTGGGGGTTTCTTTCTTTTTACAATAAGACAAAACAAATTGGACAGTGAATAAAAAGGATAGATAAAACCTGTACGTCTCCATATATATGCATTTCAATAAAGTACTTGAATTTGGAGGATTGTTTTGCTATGCACGGACTTCGAAACTGCGAATTCACGTGACCGCAGTGATAGGTTAAAAGCATTGTTGCTAAAGCTTTAGTAGCTGTGGCATGTTGGTCCCCCGATCCTAAACTATTTGAATTAGATCCCGTGAATCGAGATAGTGGATGCAGCCTTTGAATGGTGACGTGAACTTTTTTCTTTTCCTTTTCTATTGGAAAAGGGTTTCTTATTATCTGAATGGCGAGCATCAAGACGCTTTAACTTGAGTTTTGGGCGCGATGAAATCCTGGCCTCCCTGTTGGACGTGATAAAAAGCTGCCTCCCTGTTGGGCAGGATGAGAGCTTGGTCTCCATGTTGGGAGAGCTGAAATGCTGGTCTTCCTGTTGGGCGTGATGAATTGTTAGCCTCCCTGTTGGGCGTGATGAAATGTTGGCCTCCCTGGTCGGCGGGATGAAAATTTGGTCTCCATGTTGGGTAGAAATATATCTTTGAAGAAAAATTCTCTTTGTGACTACATGCTTGTAAATTAGCATTGTACTTATGCTTTCCTAGATAGGCCCGCCACTTCATCAATTCGGCTTGCAGACTTCACGTGCAAATTAATTGATGTTGAATTGTCAAATTGATTGACTATCATTTTATCCTTCCAAAACTTAAGCATTAGGATGTGTCCTTTCATGTGGGTCCACCATTAAGTGGTGTCTTTCAGGACAGGCTCGCCATAAAGTACTAGTCAAGTGAAACCTCAACCACATGTTATCATCGTAACCGAAGTTGAACGCATACTATTAAACAATATAAGTATTGTGCCTTAAAGACCTGGTTCACGTGCTTTGCAGCTTTTAATCTTTGTTCATGATTAAAGATAAGTTAAATAACAAATAAGTGGGCCCATTATTTGAAATTTCAAAATTTGACGAAAGCATGTGAATGAAAAGTGAAATATCCGCAAGAACCTGTCTCCAGAAACATTGTGAATGTAAACTGATTCCTTCATTCTTTTCAGTGTGGGCCCGCCATTGATCATATTTAACCCAAGCTTTTTTTTTTTTTTTTTGATAACATATTTAACCCAAGCTTTAGATGCAAAGCTCTCGATCAGGGGTCTTTAATAGTTCGGCGACCACATCATCCTCAAGTCGCTTCAACCGTGCAAGCAAAGAAAATACCATCGTCGTCATGTTTTCCGCGTGTGGATACCGCATGCACCTGATCGGCTGGGGACCAAGGATATATGGGCGCAGTTGTAACTGAGCTGGCGTGACAGCTGCATGGCCACTCCGACCAGAATAGCGGGCGATAGTGTAAAGACTTGGCGGCTCAGTTGGGAAGAGACGACCGTCATGGGGCGGCTATGGCGAGAAGACTTGAAGTGTAGGTGAATCGGTGGTTGGGGAGGAGACGACCGTCATAGAGAGACTTGAATTTTTTCTTGGAGAAATTGCTTGAGAGTCCCATGAATAGGTGAATTGCATGTCTCCATGGGTATGGGCATCGATAGTTGTGGATATAGGCGAGCGATACAGTGGCGGATGAAATCGTCATGGCACCAGTGGTTGGGGATTTATGGTGGGCGACCTGAGGTTGGTTGGGTGAGAGTCTGGGCGAGAGTTATGGGCTGTCTGGCGAGGGGATCTACGGTGGGCGACCAGAGGTTGGTTGGGCGAGAGTCTTGGCGAGAGTTCTGGGTTGTCACTTCCTTGAGCTTTTATATCTGGGGCAAGTAGTTGTAATCCAGGAAGGTGTAAACCTCTCCTATTTTTGGTTAGTTGGTTGAGCGGTTGATGGTGTTGGGCGATTGATCTGCGCCGATCTACTGTGTAGTTGCGTGATCCGCTTACTGGTCGGCGAGTTCTAGGGGAGTTTGGGCGACTGGTTGAGCGAGGCTGTTGAGCGAGGCTCCTGATAGTGGCGGTGAACAACATTGGTGGTCGCCCGGAGTTCGTGGGCGCTCGGTGGTGGTCGCCCTGATATATAAATGTATATATATATTTTTGAGCTGAGTTGAAGACGATTGGAATATTGAGAGGTTGAGAGAGTGTTTTGGTTTTCCTTTTTTGCATTCGCCACAGAAGGTCTATTCTTCTTGGAGTTGAGTCTTCAATTTGTTATGGGGTAATTTGAAGCATGTGCTGAGGCGTTCATCCTTGAGGGGTTCACTAAGATATTGGTGTTTGTAACCCGTCGAAAAACCTGGAAGATACTTGTACGACCATAACATTGAAAGGGAAATGAGTTATTCAAAAATGTGTACTTTCTTATCATGCGAAGCTTGCAACGACTATGTCAAAAATGAGGCTGACTAGTCTCAGCCTTTTTCTTTCTAACCCCCTTAAAAAGATCCTTATATTAAATAAAGTGTAACTGCATCGACTCTGGGGGTTTCTTTATCTTATTACAATAAGACAAAACAAATTGGACTGTGAATAAAAAGGATAGATAAAACTTGTACGTCTCCTCATATTTGCATTTCAATATGCACGGACTTCGAAATTGCGAATTCACGTGACCGCAGTGATAGGTTAAAAGCATTGTTGCTAAAGCTTTAGTAGCTGTGGCATGTGGGTCCCCCGATCCTGAACTATTTGAATTAGATCCCGTGAATCGAGACAGTGGTTGCAGCCTTTGAATGGTGACGTGAACTTTTTTCTTTTCCTTTTCTATTGGAAAAGGGTTTATTATTATCTGAATGGCGAGCATCATGACGCTTTAACTTGAGAATGTGATCTTGTTCATGTGCCAATCAGTTTGAGGCTGGCGAGCGAGGAGGTTGAAGTTGTCCGGTGTGGGTGAACAGGTGATGAGGCGGTGCTGTTTGGATAAGGTCAGGTTGGCGACCGGTTGAATGTATCTCATCGGTATAAGCACATGGTGATCTGGTAGAGTGAAACAACCAACAGATTGAGACAACATGTGGTTCATAAAGCTGGTCTCCTTTTTCTTTGTATATTTTCTTTTACTTCAAGGATCTGGTTCTCCTGCATTTCCGTTTTCTGTCTTCTAGAGTCTTGTTTTCTTTTTTCTTTGTAGATCTGGTTCTTCAGTCTGAAGTTCGGATTGAAGGCTTTGTGTATATTCCAGTAACATGGCTTTTCGTAGTTGAGTAAACAAGGGTTTTTGCAGGAATGCCTTTCAGGAAAGGCAAGCAAGGGGTTGTGGAATAGGAAGAAAGGAGAGTTCTTAGAACTTCTAGTAAAGAAATGGGAATCGAAATTTGTCGTTTCCCACATACGGCGTCAATGTACTGATAGTGTGCTGGGGGCAATATGTTGATATAGGGGGTGTCCATAGTGACCTTGGTAGAGACCAAGCCACTAGTGAAGCTTGCCATGGATGTGCTTAAAAAGGGGGAGTGTGTGGGTATGAAAGCATATGAGAGGAGTGGTGAAGAAGAAAATTCTCTCTCCATGTGTGAGAGGAGTATTTAGAGAGGAGAGTCCTCTCTTGCATGGGGGCTTGAGCTGGTTAGCCCATGAGTTGTCTCATCAAACTGCCCCCTGTCAGTGTACAGGGGCCGCAGTGCAGGAAGAGGGAGATGTCCCAGTGGAGAGCCTCTATGGCTTGCCATGGGTGCCCTCTAGAATGTTCAAGAATGTGGGCTTAAAGAGGTTGGGCTCATCTGGTGGGCTCAATGTAAGTTGTATCCAGAACACTATCTAAATGGGAAAAGTTAGGCCCTCGCCATGTGAAAAAAGGACCACAATTCCCCAAGTCCAACATCCCACAATATCCAAGACAGAAGAAAAATCAGCACAACGATTGAACCTCCTTTCTTCTCCCTATTCAATAAAATTTCATTAAAATCTCTGACCCTTTATCTCCTGCCATTAACCAAAGGCAAGAACTGTTATCCTTAAATATCCAAGCATGGACTCCCATATATAGCTGTGAAATGAAAAGGAACGTGACCTGGAAACGAAACATTCGTGTAGATATATGGGGAGCTTTGACCCAATTTTTGAGCATCGACCTTATTACTATCTCATAGAACCCACAAACCGCCTGAGAAACCATTAGCTTCTTCCAAAATAAAATTAAAAAAGCCTAGTTTACGAATAATCTGGGCAGCCTTGACTCCACTGACACGCGGTTCCAAGATAGCAACTATATCAATATGATACTTACGTATGAAAGTAGACATGGTACCACGAAAAATGGACAAGCTTGAACACGATTCAGTTGTTCATTTAGAGAAACAAGAACACAAATTTGTGAGCAACTTATTCTTTTTTGTTTAGTTCCATTTCTATTCTGAACGTGAATAGAAGATTTCATTTGGTGCTTGTTTGTACTGATGATGAAATTCTGATGGATTTGATGCCTTTGTGATCTTGCATACGACCCGTCTGTGTGCTACGACCCCCTTGAATGTATCCCTTTTACCAAGTGGTTTACCTAATGTTTGAAAATCAATTTTTGCACTCCTATTTGTTTCCATTATGAAGTCTTTCTTGCCTTTGAATCATTCAAATCCCATTGGTTTTCCCGACAAACTTCCTCCTCTTCCTCGGTGGTGAAGTCATTCTCAATGCTGAAGGTCTTGCGAATTTCTTCTGGTGTCTTCCCCTTGATCATGTCTGCTATAGTCAGGCAAGTAAGGTCCAAAAGGCTCTTGATGTTCAAGTAGTTTGCAGCCTGAAAACAAAAATTTCATAACACAACGCAATGGCACAGCATTAACATGATAAAAACAGTTGATGTGACATTAAAATGCAAAATATTCCAGGCATTGAGACATTAAATGTCTATTGCAAATATATGCATTGAACGCAAATTGTAAACAGATCTCAAATCAAATGGAATACACTCTCACGCTGTAGGATGCAAACTCGAGACCACCAAGACCAAAGCGATCATCATGGACAATTCTAATGTAGGCATATATAATGCACTCCTGGCTCCTACGTATTTAAGGCATACAGCAAAATATCCAATGATCAATGATTAATAAGGAACAGAGATGCAGAATTCAGATAAACACCAATTTCATGAAATATACACGACAATAAAGAAAAGAAGCCATGACTCGCTCACATGAAGGATGATAAGCCAAAGATACACACACAACATACATATATCCTTAAAATTAATTAGGGAAAACTTCAAAAATAATCCCGCAAGTCTCTTCTAGAATCACTCACCCCCTTCCCAAAATTTTGAATCATTTACACCATCAAAATACACAAAAAAATAGACCCTTGCTTCAATATAGAGAATACATCCATGCAACAAGTATACCAAAAAGACACCCATTCAGAAATCAATAATAGAGCAAAGGAAACAAAATCCAACACAATAAAACTCCAAATAACAAAATATAGCACAATTTCCTTGACTTAGATCCTCTGCTATTACTTGCTAAAACGATAACGTTACGTTACGAGAAAGAAAGACGCGAGCGAAAGTAATGGACCCTACAACCTGCACAAATTATGATGAACCCTACTATACTTGGCCTTGTGTCTTTCTCAACCCTAAGAAGTCCAATCCAAATCCCCAATTTCAGAAACGGTTAAAACATCATTGCTTCAAAAGAAGTAATCGCCCAAACAAAAACCATTAAAATAATAGGAACAAAACAAATAACCCTAAAATCCCCAATCTCAAAAGAACCCTAATCCATAATCACCACAGCACCAACAGTCAAACCCAAAACAAAGAAATCCACATGAAGAGGAAACAGAAACCGAAATTAAAACTCACCAGAATGAGATCGAAGAGCGTGGCCTGATCAACCTTGACGAAATTAGCGTCCCAGGCCTTGAGATCTTCATCGGAGGGCTTCTCGTCGGAACTCGTGGCCTCAACGCGCTTCTTGCAGTACTCGATAACCTTGGCGAGAATCTTGCTGGTAACGTTGGAAAGAGGGATGCCGCTATCGGCGCAATCGCCTTCGATCATGTGCTTGATGATCTGCGATTCCAACGCCACCGCCTCGTCCACCTCGAAGACCTCACCATCGGAACTCTGCAGACTGATCTTCTTCGTCGACGCCATGCTTGAATTTCACAAAGAAAAGAAGGTAAATCCCTAACCCTAATTTTGTGATGTGAGTGACACGAATTATGAAAAGAAAGGGGTGTGACTTCTTTCGTCGACGCCATGCTTGATATTTATAGTGCTACAAGATCAATTCCGGTGCGAACGTAGCACGATCGGATTTTTTTTATTTATTTTTTTGGGCTTGGATATTTTAATTTATTTATTAAATACAAGTATAATTATTATTCAAATGTGATTCTAATTAATTATGTATTTATATTTGGATTATGATCTTTGTTACTATCAATGTTATTATCATATTATGATCGTTGATTTTCGCCAATCAATGACTATTATTTAGTGTAAATTAATAATTAATTAATGAGTTTGATTTGTGGAAAGAATAATTATTCAGTGACGGAAGTCAACGGTTAAGATATGGTAATAATATTGGTAGAAGCAATATTCTATGCCTTTATATTTTTTATTTATATTAATAATTTATTTCTATTATATTTCCTAAATTAGGATATTCTTTCTGTTAATATTTTTATTAATTTAATATTATTATATAGAAAAAAGTGTTTGGCATTTAAAATGACATAAAGTTACGTCATTTTAAGAAGAGTTTGATGTTTGTTATTTTAAATGACATAAGTTGTGTCATTTTAAGAGATAGATAGATATAAGAAATAGAAATCATGGGAGAAAAAGCGAGTGGATTTTTTTATTTTAAATTTTAAATAAAAATATTATTTTGTATCTATCTCTCTCTTAAAATGACATAACTTTATATCATTTAAAATGACAAATACTTTTGCCTTTTAAAAAAGAGATAGACACAAAATAATTTTTTTTAAAATTTAAATTAAAAAAACCATTCACTTACTTCCCATGATTTTCATTCATTGTGTCTATCTCTCTCATAAAATGACATAACTTATGTTATTTAAAATAACAAACATCAAACCCTATTATATATTCTATTAATAATTTATTGATGCTTCATAAATAATAAGTCTATACATATTAAGAATATTCTATTATGGGAATTTTTTAAAAAAAAATACTTGTAGACATTTTTCTTTTAGAATTTTTTTTTGTCAAAAGGTAAAAATTTTCTATGCTTGAATGTTAAGATAAAAATAAATCTTTTTACCAAAGGGATTGGTTCAAGTAGTATATGCTTAATTCCGATTATGAAATATCTTAGGTTCAAGTCCTTATTATTGTAAAAAATTCTCTGTGAAAAAGCTAACCCCACCATGATATGGATGTTTTCGGCTCGAACAGAATTATCTTCCGCGAAGGATATACGTGATTTATCCTAAAAATAGCCCATTTTATTTATAAAATATGTAAAGAACGGACACACAATTTTTTTTGAAAAATGCGTGTCGGACACCGACACGTTCCGACACGCAGTCAACGTTCCAACACACATCGACTCTTTTTTTTTAGTCTAAATTTTATTTTATTAACTAAACATGAAAAAATAATTTATAAATCAATTTTTTTCTATTTTGTAATTTGACATGAAAAATTAACAATGTACGAAAAATTATTTTTGTTTATATTTATGTTATGAAATTTGAATATTTGATTGGTTATATGACTTATTATAGGCAGTTACATGTATTAAATATAAATTATATTATATATATTAAAAATATTATTTAATGTCAAAACGTGTCCTAATGTGTCGAAATATGACATTTTTTAGAATTAAAGTATCGGCGTATTGTGTCGTGTCTCGGGTCAGTGTCAGTGCAACATAGTATAAAATTAATCAAAAATTTTGTTTTTACAAAACACTTGGTTGAAAATAATTTATAACTTTGAGAATTTATTAGGATGGATTTTTTTAAAAAAAATAACTTTATATATTTTTCTAGAAGACAATTTTTTAAAAATTAAAATTATTTTGCATTTAAATGTTATATTTGAAAGCGTTTTAAATAAATAAATTGTTCAGATGTTAAAACATGGGTTTTATTAATCTCATGTTAAAAGAGATAATTATCTCATGACATAGAGACAAATTTGTGTGCTCCACCACCTAAAAAAATTAAAATAAAATAAAAGAAAAATGTGACACAGTTATCGAAGAGTGTGTAGGAGACAAAAATTGTCTCATGTAGCATGAGAATAGTTTTTCCCTTAAAACATTAGGGAAGTGAGGTATTCTGCAGCCATATCCATATTATGATTCGAGTGACAATATTAGAGAAAACGCACAAAGTGTCATGAATTAACTATTTATATTTTTTAATGGGTATTTGGGAGCAAATCTAGAATTAACTGTAAGATTGTTTTGTGGGATTGAAATATTTTGGGTTCTGTTCAGAGTGAACACCAAGTTGGATAGGATCTAGCTCTAAGGTTAAGCAATAAGCTCTGAGATGTATCTGGGATGTATGCTGGAAAGGTAAGATCTATATCGGATCTCTGATATTAAAGCTTAAGTGTCCCCCTAGTCTCACTCCTAATCCTATATAGCATTATCATACGACTGTTACCTATAACGTGGAGCACTTATGAAGGTTACGCAGATCATGGTTCCACTAGGTAGTTATTAGGTCCCTACGACTCTGGGAAAGGAGATCGTGGGTTTAAACTCCACGATCCCGGGTAACGGGGTAAAGCACATATGTGGAAGTATTCTAACGGGTAAAAAGGCCTTGAGAGTTTACAGGCAGGTGTTATTTCCTGGCTACGGCATTAAACTAACCAAGTTTTTAGCTCCGACCGAGTGTATTAACCCGCAACATTAAGGCCCTTGGCTCGGAGTAACTCAAGTCGATACTCCAAGATGATAAGTATCATGCATGCATCACAGTTAAGGTGTCTTTTCATCTTTCATCTTCCAAACGGCTGAACGATCCACGTGGACCATTATTATTGGTGTCGCAAGCTTCTGGGGGGCGCTATTTAATGATTTTAAATCTTTTCATATTTCCGAAGTCATATCCGCTCAGCCCTAAGGTCACATTTGTTCAGCCCCATTTTTCTTCTACTCTCCACCGTCATTTTTTCTCTTGTTATGTTTCTAATTTTTTGTTTCTCCACAGACTCTTATCTTCATCAAAGTTCCACACTAATCTTCCAAGTTTCTTTACTCGCTTCAAGAACGTGTTTGCTCTGCTCTTAGTTACGGTACGTTGATCTCTTTTCTTTCTCTTTCTAGTTTACATTAGCTATTCTTTTTATAACTATGTAAAATTTTGAAACTCTGAATAACTGGATAACTATCAAGTGAATGTATTGCTCTCTCTTAAGTCATTTTGATGGACAAATCTCCATAAGAAACCATAAATAAATTTGAATACTTTCGCCAACTACAATTTTTCAATTGATTAACCCAAAGAAGACTCTCCTCACACCATTATAGATTTCCTAGGTTTCACAGAGCCCTTATCTATCCAGTAAAGGGTTCTGGGCGAATTAGAGTAACATTACACCTTGTAGAAGAAGTTTCCTGTTTAGAGGTTCTTAATTCTGACTTCTTGGATCCCAAAATGAAATCTATTTGTTTGTTTTCTTCTATGGTCATAATGAGAAACTGCGCTTACCAAGATCTTCCATCTTCTCAATTTTCTCTTCTCCCCAATACGGAGGATCTTGAATGGGTTGATGAAGAAGCATTAGGGGTTCGCTCATCTTATGAAGATGACTAAGACCTCTTACAAACATCCCTTTCTTATATTCAACTTTGTAAAGACATTGAAAATCTTCCTTTTCGGGTTGATGTACCGGGTTCTAACAAAAGGATTTGCTCTTCCTCGGTGATTCTTTTTTTATATATACATGTCTTTTTAAAGACTTAGGTATTCGACTTCCATTTTTCGAGTTTCAAATTCAAGTACTCCGGCATTTAGATATTGCACCTTCTCAACTTCATCCCAACTCATGGGGTTTTCATCGCGTTTTTGAACTGATTTGTTTAGCACACAGGCTCACCTGCTCTTTCAAAGTTTTCTTCTGCTTCTTGGTTGTTTTTCGTAATGCTATTACGAAGGGATCTCCTCAAAATGGTTGGGTTTCTTTAAAAACTGGTCTGGACTAAAACAGTGTACTTCTTTGGAAGATAACTGGAAGAATTTTAAGTCAGATTACTTTAAAATTTCTTCTTCGGTACTCTCTAAAGTTCTTCTCCTACAACGCCAGATGTAAATCTTCATCCTTTTTTTCTTTAACGAAGACAGTTCTCCTCGATTTCCTCTTTCCAGGAATCACAACCATTATACTCCATCAGTGGAAACGTATTTACGCCACGTAAAGAATTTGAATGCATATGAGCTCAAAACTTATGATTGGTTTATTCCTAAAATCCAGCAACTGGTAAAAGCAAGATTAGCTATTACTTCTCGTCATATTCTTGAAGCTGGTTCTAATCTGGAGACTATTCATAAAGCCTTCAGTAAGTAACCACAATGTTGATTTTCATTTTTGTATGATTTTTTTTCCTTTTATTAACCTTCTCCATGTTCCCGTTTGGCAGGTAAGGCTATACGTGAAGTATTTTTTGCTCGTCAGGATGCTGCTCAGAAGAAGGCAAACACTACTGATTTTACTGAAAAACAATCTACCTCGGGCTGTCAGGTTTCTACCGAGAAATATTCGATTCTCGATGGCTTCTGACTATGCCTCTCTTCCAGAAGCTGGCTCTCAGGGCAGTATCCGACAAAAGAAAGAGGTTTGGGCTAATGTACCAGACCCCAAGGGAACCCCTACCGAAACTTCTGGTCCTTCAAAGAAATCGATTCCTGCAGGTCCTTTTGATGTGAAGTCTCGGCATTTATTAAAGCCTTTCTTCGATCCAAAAATTCATGATAAATATGACGCATATTCTGCTAATGAAATTATTGAAAGATACAAATATGCTAAAGAGTTTTCAGTTCGTTGCACCTCCTTTGTTGACATGGCTTTGCTACATCTTCTTGACCGTCGTGAACTCCTAACGGAACATGAGGAGTTACGCACCTTCAAGAATCAATTCAACTCTGAAAAAGAAGCCTTATTGAAGAAAAAAAACTTTCTGAAAAATCAGCTTACTGAAACAGGTCGAGAGGAGATTGATGTTGAAACTGCTCAAAAAATAGCTGAAGATAAATTGGTGTTCCTTCAGAAAGATAGGGATGATTTCAAGAAAGAACGCGACGAGCTCATTCTCCAGATTTCTGAATTGAAAATAGCAAATGAAAATTTGACCTCAGAAGTTAACCTTCTTAAAGCCGAACAAGATAAGTCGGATGAAAACTTAGAATCTTTTGGTATAGTGGTTCGTGGTCGCATTTTGGATCAGATTGCTTTTTACAACCCTAGAGTCGAACTGCAAGATCTAGACAAGGTTGACATTTACAATTTTGTTGACGGATCTGACTTGTTTACTTATGGGGATAATGGAGAGAAAATTCTTATTCTATTTTGTCCTGTTGAAGAAAGTATTCTGGGTCTCCACTCTGGAGCTCTGACTTCATGAAGCTTTTGAGAAGGGGTGGTATGCCACCTTATTTTGTACATTTTGGCCTGAAATGTTGGATTTGAATTGATGGAATGAACCATTATTTGAGTGGCTAATTGAGTTCTGGAATGTGAAGACACTTTCATGAAATACAACATCTCATGATACGAACATCTCAAGCGTATCAAGATCAAGCACTTTCCAACCTTTAGCATGTGGAGGATATCTGTAAAAACACACTGTTGTGATCTAGCACTAAATTTATCAGTAGATTTTGGCCTAGACTGAGCATAACACAAGCATCCAAAAATTTTAAGATGCACATTTGAGGGAGCATTACCGTGTAGTAGCTCATAAGGTGTTTTTCCACCAAGCACATGCGAAGGGGTTATATTTATCAAATGTGCTGCTGTGAGGGCGCACTCACCCCAAAACTCAATTGGCAAATTTGCTTGAAAGCGCAGAGCCCTAGCTATATTGATAATATGCCTATGCTTGCGCTCCACTCTCTCGTTTTGCTGCGGACTATCAACACATCAAGTTTGGTGCACAATACCTAGATCAACAAACAAGCTCATTAGGCTATTAGATTTAAACTCATTGTCATTATCACTTCGCACAATTTTCACACTACAACTATAATGTTTTTCGGTCATAGCAAAGAAGCCCTTCAATGATGATATCTTTCGTGCTTTTCTGCTAGTAAATAAATCCAAACAGATCGACTAAAATCATCAACAATGGTTAAGAAATAACATGCTCTAGTAAGAGAAGTTGTTCGGTATGGTTCCCACAAATCAACATGAATAAGATCGAACACATTTTTGTTATGATTGTTACTTAATGGAATCACAGATCTAGTTTGCTTTGCATGATGGCACAAGTCGATGTTGCTTTTGGATGGGCTTTTTTCTCTCCAGAAGTTGCTTTTTTTGTGTGAAAAAAAAAACTTTTCATTTTTAGTTCGTTTGGATGTCTGCTTTTAAAAAAAAACACAAGTCACAAAAAAAGTAAAAAACCTACTTTTTTCTAAAGCTAAAAATTTTAACTTCTAAAAAAAGCAGAAGTCAAAAGCCAAATATTTTTTTCAAAATCTAAATATTTTTATAAAAATATAAATAACTTTAACTTTTGTAAAAAAGACTTCTAAAATAAGGAAGAAATAAAAGTTACTTTTTCTAAAAGTACAAAGAAACGGGCTCAAAACAAAGTGTAGAGTTTATTTGTCTACTCTTAACAGAAGCAAATTTTGGAAGTAATAAAATAGCATCATCAGTAGCATGACCAAATCTTTTATGCCACAAATCAATGGAGCTATACGAACGAACAACAGAGTAAAATCTGGATTCAGTTGATACACATATAATACACCAGTCACATGAAAACTTGGTTTAAAAGACATTGTCCCTCGCTTAACTGTGCGAGTCACATCACCGTTTGGAAATCCTACTGTTATAGGCAAAATATTTTCAACATTGATGAATAATGCTAGGGTCCCAATTATAAGTTAAACTCTTAAATTAAATTGATTCTTTATATTTAGTAAATAGTATTTCAGCTTAAATTATTTGATTTTCTTGAATTGGAAAACTTAAATGCTTCGCTTTAGAGTGGTTCATTAGATGTCATGAAACATGATACGTACGGTCCAATGGCTCTCAACAAAAAATTTCGGTTTTTATATCATTGTTAACGCGACTTGTTAAACATCATATCACCTCAGTTTACCGATGTTTTGCATAATGGAATAATATATTTTTTTAAAAGGAAGAAAAAAACCTTTTCCCTTTTTCTTGAATTGAAAAATACAAATTAGACTAAAATGCTTGTGTTTTTCCATTACCCTTTCCCATGCAAAAAAAGGGGTAATGTGCAATCCGAATTTCTGAGTCCCTATGAATTACCTAGCTCTCCAACTCCAAACGTACAATAAAACCATGGGTGGAGTGGGGTCCATCAAACTTAGTCTAATGAATTAGTGAGTGAAGTTCTGACAAAAATCAAACAAAAACAATGCCAAAATCAACACAAAACTATCTTAAACCAGGGAGAGAGAAAAAAAAGGTTCATGATGCACCATAGCTAAATCTAGGAGCTACTTTTTTTCTGGGTATTCAATACATAAAGCTAATTTACATGTAGGTAATTGATGCCAGGACGTGTGAGAATCAAACTACATTGGTCCTGGCTTCATGTGATAGTTCCAATAGCCAGTTGCCTCTATTTAATATGGTATTCAATCCCTACACAACCAAATGACAACCTCATTTGTTACTTAAGATTCCATGCACTGTGCGGGTGGAGGGCTTGTTTTGGTCTTCTCGGAACCTGCAAAAATTAAAAAAATAACATTTACATGCATTTTGAGCACACCAACCAATAAGCATCATTTCAGTGCTCAATAAAACTAAGGGAAAATGCAATAGCAAAACAGAAATTTATAACATCAAGCTAGATCCAATTCAAAAAGTATTGTTGAGAAAAGGAAAGACAAGTCCAAGACACATGCAAGGTGAATTGAGTCTTAGGACAAGAGAAATTTTGAAATTCCCAATATTCTAGTGCAATCCCTTAAATGCTGAGAAAGCTAAATGATGTAGACATACCACGAACCCCACGGATCTCCACTTCTCTCCATTCTTGCACAAGAGCACAGCAACAACACATCAAATGAGAAAGAAAATCATCAACAAAGCCCCCCTGGCATAGAGTGTAAATGAGTAATGGAAAATTCAAAGATACCAGAATACTACATTCCAAAGAATACTCAAACCTTAATCAAAGACATTAATATTTTTATTTTTTATTTTTTGGTAGATAAGACATTTGATATTTTTAACTCACTTGCAAATAGGACAAACAGGAGCCACTAAGAAATATATCAGAGTTGGTATAAATTTCCATGAGAAAAGAAGAAACTATAAGTAATAATAGAGAATACTGAGATATAATGAGAAATGCTGCCAAAAAATGTTTTATGAATTTATCTGAATATTATATATACAAGGCACAGACAAGAGGGCACCTGAGGTCATATTTATGCCACAGGAAGGAAGCATTACCGTGATGTTCAACATCTTCCGTAGCTTCCTCCTTATGCAGCAAGTATAGCAACAGCAAGATAAAATTAATGAATATGCCATCAATTCATTACATGCTTCAGCAGAAGCTGAAAAAACACAAAATTGAAATTATAGCAGTACAACCTTAATAAGGTTTTTTTAGTGTGGCAAATGAACCAAATAGAAAGTAAGAATAATATAAAATCAGAAAACATTTGCAACTTAAAGCAACCTTTGCATTAATTTAAAAAAATTACAGCAGGATTACCAAAAAAAAAAAAAAATTCCAGCAGAGGTCTGATAGTTAATGAATCCCCCCCCAAAAGACCCCTATGATTATGTCTCCATTACATGTAATTAATGTATATTACAGAAATCAATTTAGGCCTAGGGTGCAGATATTATGCTATCTTAACAATTGAGTGAGACTTCATTCTTGGTAAAATCCAAGATATATCAACCAAGTTCAGTCTTCATTATAAAAGAAAATGACATAGCTTGCTGTAAACCTAAGTTGATGAAGTCAAAATTTCTGAATTCACCAATCCGGACAAAGCCATGGCAACCAAGAAAGACATTTTTCCAAGTTGAAACATCTAAATTGAATTCACATAATGTTCTGATCTTATTATCAACTTGATATAGATGAACTCTAGCCTTGCTAGCATAAAACACATAAAATGAAACAGAATTCAGATATAGATTCATCATTTTAATGCTAACTTCATATATTATGGCTAACTTACATATTGGCCTGTTAGTTGCAACAGTAGCAATCTTTGAGAATGTCCCACAAGGATAGAAGAATGTCTTTATACCTGCAGATCAAATGCTCTATTTATTACTTGAGATGCAAAATACAGCAGGATTGGAGTGCTCTGTTGAGATATTTTTTATATTTCTCTTATTCCCTTGTTTTCAGTGCTGCTAAGAGGACTCCCGATCCTCCTATGCTGTATTTCTCTTCTCCCTCAATATTTCTTCTTCTTTTTTAAAGAAAAGGAGTTTATTATACTCATTGAAACTACAACTATACAATTATTATAATTTAACACGCATGGAAAAAGCAAAAGAAATGCAGCTCCAACAATTACCACAACACACTTCTAGTCTCATTCAATCTTCACAGAGAAACAGGTGTCCACAACAACAAATATTTCATGCAAATCACGGAATCCACCTCTATCCTATTTCCTAATCTTTTCTTCTGATTCTCATGCAGCGCATGTTACCTCAGCAGAGGCATGCTCAGAATAAGATGGTTATGTAAAAAAAAAAAAAAAAAACTCTCCACTAAATCCTGACTAGTGAGTGTGGGATGAGGGCAATTTTTGTATGAAGTCTTACTCTGCATAATTACAAAGAGACTATTTTCCGAATTCGACCCCGTGACCTTTCAGTTACAAAGAACAGCTATACCACTACTCTAGGCTCGACCTCTTAAGATGGTTATGTATGAAGATTAAAAAAAAAAAATCACCACAGTAATAAGTGGAGAATGTATGCAAGAAATATAAATAAAACATCTTAAACTGCCAATCTTCACACTGGTACAAATAAATTAACATATACGTAAATTAGGGGTTTTGTTGCACCATACATAATAAAGTAATAAAGGGCTGTGAAACTGTACTGCTGACTCAATGGAAAAGTAGAAGGAAAGACATTCTGGTTCATAAGGCTACAGATACAGTGAGCCATAATATGCCTATAATAACACTGAAGTGAAGAAAGAAGCTATTCTATTATAGCTGACCAAACTAAAGAAAATCAAAGAGCAGGAGAGAACGTACAAAGATAAGGTTCAGAACAACAAGCAAGTAAATCAGTATGCCAATCTTCCTGCTGATATGAACCTCCAGTTGACAGCAGATCCTTTTCTGAAATTGACGATCTGTTTGAGCCCAGGAAAATGGAGTATTAGACTCAATTCAATACAAGTTAGTAAACACCACTCCCCATTAAGCCCTGACTAGAGAGGGTAGGGGTGAGGACAATCCTTGTATACAGTCTTACCCTTGCATATTTACAAAGAGGCTGTTTTCCGGATTTGAACAAGTGACCTTTCAATCACAAAGGAGCAGCTTTACCACCATTCGAGGCTCGCCCTCTTAATACAAGTTAATAACCAAAAAGATAAAAACTGTAAAAAGAAAAAGCATCATTGACTGCATCACAACATAACAAAAGGGTGGAGGAGTAGGATCTTTAGCGTATTGTAAGCTACTCTGAGCTATAAAATTAAACTTTGAGTGTCCCTAGAGGTCAGATGTGTAAGGCTCAAAATTCACATCAATAATACTTTTATCCCAAACTAATTCGGGTCGGTGGTAGGTGAACCCAAATAAATATAATTTGTGGTCAAGTAGTTTTCCGGAGTGAACCCAAAACACTTGAAAGCTAGAGAAGAGGGAAATAAATTACCTTGATGCTGAAAGAGTATCACCTTTTTTATGGTATTTTTCATCAGATGAATGAACTTTGTTACCGTTGGCATCAGAATAACTGTAGTTACTGTACTCTACTGTCTTATGATTTTTTTCAGGTGAAAACTTCTCTGGAAGAGAATAAGCTGCAACTTCTGTGACATCTAATAAACGTTGAATGAATTCACACTCATTTATATCCATATTTGACTGTGAATGTTGTAGCTCTAGTTGAAGCTTTTCATTTTCTTTTCTAAGTGCTTCAGTGAAAGAAAAGTTGGGGTAAGAACAGGAAAGAGTTTTCTTCAGCACTACAGCATCATCTTTGTCAGGCTCGGGTTTCAAAATAACAGTCTGCAAGTTTTGGTACTCGTCATCCAATGTGTACTCACATTGATCCTTTTCAATAACTTCGAGTCTCTCCTGAATATTTCAAAGAAGCGAGAGATTGTTAACAGTATTTTACCAAAGTTCCAAACACAGATGTCACCATGAAAGTTACAATAAAAAGCAGATAAAAGTTGAAAGGTTGGGAAATTTGCAAATTCTGATTAGTACAAAATAAAAAATGCTGAAACATGTTGAACACCATCACACACATTCACAGCTTGCAGATTCTGAATGGAGGAGAGGAGTTTGGGTGTAGTGCATTTGGCAAGGGGAAACGATATATTGAAAGGGGAGAGCAGTATAGTGACATGTGATTTCGGTTAATTCTTCAAAGTTCAGAGTTACCACACTCAGGTTGATTTTGGTTAATTCTTGCCTGCCTCTTCTCTTTGCTTGAAAAGTTAGGCCTTTAGAGGGAGCAGGGGAAAATCGTACATGTAATTAGGAGTTTGTTGCTAATCTTTCTTTATTCATATTTCATTCACATGTCACTACACTGTTTTTCCATATCTTCCATTTGTATTTCTGAATTGCTGTAGGAGCTAGTCTCCATTTTTATCCCTTTAATAGAATTTTCTGAGTTCCATCGTTCTCAGTTGAGCTAGCTTATAGAAAGGACAATTAAGGCTATGATTGGATGGAGGGGAATTCACTGAAGGGAGGGGGGAGAAGGTTTATTTTAAACTTTTTAAGCTTTCCCCTTCCCTATTCCCTTCATTCTCCTCCATCCATACATATCCTACGTGTAAGCCAACACCCAACTCTATCTAAAAGTTAAATATGATGCAACTAAACCAAATCAATTGTCGTGATCTTAACTAATGTGTTGGAGTTCTAAATTACATCAAATGCTACCTTATCCTTGTGGTATGTAATTAAAGACAAAAAATCAAGGGATATAGTTGTGAATACACATGAAGGGAAGAGGCATGATCCATCTCTCATATGAATACTCAGAGGTATGATTCTCAGTACATGAGTTTCAAAAAGAGTGGTCGCTCAAATTCCATTTAGGCAAGTAGTCTTAAAGGATTCTTACAAATGCATATTTCAAACAAATATTTCACATATGTTAGCACACTATGTTGGCAAAAATGAGTGTATAAACAAAATAAACAAATATGAATCCTTTATGTGGTGCAATATGTGTTCAAGGAAACAAATAGAAATCAAACCATCAACTCATACACACTATTAGAATGGAATAAAACTGTCAGAAAGAGTGCTAGTATGATCAGCAAAATTGAGCTTAAATTTTATTATCCCCCCATAAAACTCATACACCCTCATTGCCCATGTGGTACTTCCCACACCCCTTACATTCCCTTCTTTGCTTCATTTCCAACCAACTTCCTATTCATAACTAAATGAATTCTACACAACAATTCTCACACACTACCCATTTGTCTGAGTTGTATCTAGTACCAAACAAACCACATAATGTGGTTGGTTGGCTGCACAAATTCAGCAATGCAACTTACAGGCATAGGACATTAGTTAGGACCATAATTTTTACAAGACAGGATTTCACACTTGCTATGCAATACACCAATATTCAAGCATGACCGCCGTAACCGATCAAAGAACAAACTATCTGGGCCATCTAGCAAACAAGTGGAATATGCTGGATAACAAGTTTAGGTCGTTTTAATTCCTATAACCCAAGTCTTCCATCAAGAGTCAGGAATCGCTCAAATGAAGTACTCCTCATTTTAATCCTGGCTATACTCAAACTAACATTGCTCATAGAAGCTGGCAACAACCTTCATCAAATGTTGAAAATCAGCCAAAACTTGAGTTCCTGCTTTATTGATTTTGCAAAAGACTTACCTGAATTATATCTCTAGCAGTAATTTAAATGATAACTTAAATTCCCCCTAACCAAGGAATAGTACATAGCAATAGTGTTGAATTAAAGGCAAACTAGCAAAGACGACTTATGTGAAAACAATATAGAAGCAATAACATAAAGATATTCAAAGAATAATTCAAATAATAGCCTGATAAGATAATTAAGCACATAGAAGCAATAACATATACCCTGACTCGAGCATTGTCAACTAGAGTAATGAGAGGAACAATGCGTAAGTATCTGTCAATTTCATTCTGAGCCTTCCTGAATTGATAAACAATGTTCCAGCCCATGGCCAGCAAGTAAAGATAGCTGCGGTCCTGACAACTATTGACCAAAATATAAGACCTTCTGAGGGCATCTTCTAGCTGCTCCAGAGGCTCTCGAGTTTCGGGGTACTTCTTAAGCTCTGAGATCTTTAGCTGCTCCAGCAAGTTTCCTATCAACTTCAGATGCTGTGCAAATTGCCTGCAGTTCTTCTTGTGCATCCGTGCTGTATTTGCAGCTTTTACAATCATCCCAATTAATCTCACGGCATCTATGCCTGTCAGCTGGGCCACATTTGCAATCGCTCCAAAATTTTCCCATGAAGATGCCATGCTTTCTGAATTTAACCTTAAAAATCCATCTCTATCATCTCACAGCTCCAAACCTAAAAAAATGCATTAGGAATCCAAGATTTCATCAGAAAAATGTACGTGAAATTTAACCTTAAAAATCCATCTATATCAGCTCACAGCTCCAAACGTCAAAAATGCATTTGCAATCCTAGATTTCATCAGAAAATTTGGGGAACAAAACAATGTAAATGAGATTTTTTTGGTTCAAAGAAAATTTTTACCATACACATATAATTCAAAATCTCAGATAAAGCATTGCCCTTTCAAGATCTTGGGTTTTCAGAGACACGTAGCAAATGCAAAAGAAAACTGAAACCAAACAAACCTTGAGAGTGTCAACTACGCTTCTTCACTAACTTTGGAACATAAAAGTCTTTTTTAATAAAAATCATCAACGAAGAATTCCAAAATCACCATTTTCACTAAATCCGGTTCAGATAAGCACACTTTTCTTTTTTACACAAGAAAAAAAAAAAAAAAAAAACAGTAGCTTAGTTCTCGGTTATGAAAGCTGTTACAATATTCGAGGTTTCATGCTCACAACAATACACAACCAAGGACTCGTGCTTACCAAACCAAGCAAAACACTCATAAAAAACGCTCACGTGCTATGCTAAAGAACAACGCCGAGTTCCGGAAAAAAAGGAACATCAAATTGAAGTAACGACAGGCATTGTTTTTGTTTGTGTGTGGAAAAAAGAAGAAAGGTGCAGCGAGAAACTCTCTCTGTGTCTCTTTTGATCTTATCGCTCACAGTTTCGGTTCCGTGTTGTTTTGTGCAGAGTTGATATGAGTCTCTGAGTCTGAGGTTGGCCTCAACTCAAAATGCTTCTGTTACAAATTACAATGCGGTGGCCAGCTCCATCTAAATCCAATTACGTGACTACCCTTTACTTCCTCTCATTATTATGACATGGCAACCCTCCTCTTACCGGACTGTGACGCTGCGAGTTTAACGTGAAGTCCAATGCTTCATTTTGTTTATTTCAAGCAAAAGAACTTGCAAACCAAGTATTTAAAAAACGGAGAAGGCCATAACCAATCACGTGAATAATTTGTACGGGTTCTTTAAGATAGAATTTTTTCTTCAAGGAATTAGTTAATTAATCAGATAAAGTGTTTTTTTTTTTTCTTCTACAAATATAAAGGTGAATGAGATCTATTTTTTTTATATGATTTTACATGGATTTTATGTATTTTTATGTAAAAAATTAAAATTATCTTTTATAACAATGAGAAATATTAAACATTAAATTTAAATATGTATATAGTTATTCAAATTGATTTTTTTTTGGTACATCAAATTGATTTTTTTTAACCAAACCAAACTGGTTTAAACAGGTTTAATTAAAAAAATTGAACTGTTTTATTTTATTCGATTCAGTTTTATTTTCCCCTATCCATTTAAAACTGATTCGAGGGAAGGACGACATGCGTGAGTAGTGGTGGACAAAGTCCAAGTGAGAATGTCTGTTTGATTAACGTAAACGTGGGTTAAAATTCAATATTTTATATTATAAGATATGAAATTATTTTCTACACACGTATAAATATATAAATTTATATTTTTTTTTCTCTTTTCTCTTCACAGGGGACTTACACATTTTTAGATGTGTATAGAAAATATTTTTATCTTTATCTCCTTAACATGAAAAATATCAAATCCTTAAAATATAAGAAAATTATATTCTCATATTATATAATATTGATCTCTCATGTTGCACTCATATTAAAATTGTGTATTTTTTAAATAAATAAAAATTGATAAACCTCACTTTATTTGTCTTTTGATATAAGAAAATTTCTCTCATATTACTGGATAGAAATAATCTCCTAAAATATAATCTATTTCAAACCGGTTCAAATATACAAACTGGTTTCAAATTATTTTAATTCAAATTATTTTAATTCAAATTGTTTTAATTCAGGTTAATTTTTTGAACTAATTTATAAAATTAATTTATTCTTAAAATTGGTTCAGAAAAATACAGTTTAATTGAGTTGAGTTAGTTTCCACCGCCCTATATAAATTCGTGGAGAAATCTAAAAGAAACGTATAAGGCTCTAAGCAAGATATGTTTATTCTATTTTAATGAAACGTAGGAGCAAATTTTCAGTTCCTACGCTAAAATTTAAAATAAATATTCTTATTTATGAGCATTATAAATAAAATTGCTTTAAAAGAATGCTTTCTTTAAAGGAACATCAGCACAGCTGGTTGTTGAGACCGATGTTGAACCAATATGCGAGAAAGAGTAGCAGCTTTAGCCTTTAAGCGACCATCCACCTACCTACCTTGATGTTTCATTCTCAAAAATGCCCTCGGGTAAAGTATTATGCAATTACTTTATCGGCTAAAACACCATTTTGATAAATAAGAAAAAGTATTTACTAAAGAAATTAAACAAAAAAAATATCAATCTGGCAGTGTAATTAGCATCCCTCTCCAGTAAAAGAATGAAAATGAATGGAAGTTCTATTTGCTATAATTGCACGTTTTGATTCAATTCCAGAAGTCAATGAATTTATTGCACGTTTAATTTTATTAATAGTCAATTTGAAGTCATTAAGTCAATTCTAGAATTCAACTGTCAATTATAACGTAGTATATTAAATTTATTGTAATTATTTTCCCAATAAAGGAATGGAAATGAATTGAAGATGCTTCTGAGTTCTGAGTCACCATTTCTTAGGCTACGTAAAAACATTAAATGAGCTACTTAAACATTAAATTAGGTAACAGCATATTTTTACTTTTTATTACCGCCTCACATTGGGGATGACCCCGCATTGATTTTCACTAATTTCACTCCTCATTGATTACACAAAAAAAAGTAAAAGCCATTATCCAATAGCTACTTGTTATTATTGCATTAGTGAGATTTTTTGGCATTTGTGGTATGCTAGCTCCATGTTTTCATATCTCATTTAACATGAAATATGATGATCATATCAGATGATTTAATCGTTCATAAATCATGACAAGGTGCACAAGTAAAGGTTCTATTTTATATATTGTCATGCAAGACACCATATGAATTAAGAAATAACATTTTTGACATGTTCCAAAGACAATCTAAGATTGGTATTTAATTGTTATCAAAAAAAAAAAAAGATTGGTATTTAATTTTATTTTTATTTTTATGATAACTACTCTCTTTTTTTATATACCACATTGATTCTTTAGCTTACCTTATCACACGGAGCTAAATTAGGGGTGGTTGTTATTAACACAACTTACTCGTGACACCAAAAAAATTTATTCGGGTTCATTTTTAAATTTGTGTTGTGTCATATGTTAACCCGTGAACTCAAAATTAACACACATTTATTTTCTTACAAGTTATTTGTGTCTTATCGTATTATATTGACCCGTATAATAAGTAACACAATTTAGAGTTAATAGGTTATTCTTATTGTATAGTGTCAACCCACATAATAAGTGATACATTATAAGTTTGTCGGTTATTCGTGTCGTGTCAAGCTGTAAAATAAACGGGTCATGATCATGTCGAAGGTTTTAACTTGATTTTAAATTCACGTCGTGTTCATGTGGAATTCATATCATGTTGACCCGAATTGTTACCCCTAAGCTAAATTATGAAAGGAAGGCTATCTCGTTGCATAGAAAATTATGGAAGTTCTAATTATTATATCATTTTTATAACTTTTTTATTAACTAATATGTATAAAAGTACTTTTAATAAATTAATGTATTCGTAACCAATTTTATAAAAATTGAACTGATGATTGACCTAGTTAGGGTACTGGGTTAGTGGATCACTGATTCAATTGATAGGTCACTAGTCAAACTGTTAGATTTGAATTTGTTAAATAACGAGAGAAAAGAGAGGAACATTTGAAATATTTTTTGTATATTAACAAATGAGAGAGATGTACAATATATAAACAAACTAATGGGCTAAGCCCAAACCTAATGTAATCTGACCTAATACAAAATAAGGAAACCCTAATTACAATATATTTCTAACACTCCCCCTCAAGCTGGAGCGTATAGGTCATATGCGCCAAGCTTGTTACATATAAACTCTATTTGAGGGCCTCTCAAAGATTTTGTAAACACATCTGCTAATTGCTCATTAGAGGGTACAAAGCTAGTTTTAATTTCACCAGCAAGAACCTTTTCTCGAACAAAATGACAATCTATTTCTATATGCTTGGTTCTTTCATGAAACACTGGATTTGATGAAATGTGTAGAGCTGCTTGATTATCACAAATGAGAGTTGCATGTCCAGTGTCTCCAAACTTAAGCTCTTTGAGAAGCTGTTTAAGCCAGATGAGCTCGCAAGTAGTAGTCGCCATGGAGCGGTATTCTGCTTTAGCACTTGACCTGGCAACTATGCTTTGTTTCTTACTTTTCCAGGAAATCAAGTTGCCTCCAACAAAGACACAGTACCCAGAAGTAGATCTTCTATCAGCTGGACAACCAGCCCAATCAGCATCACAGTACCCAACCACTTTATCATGACCTTTATCTTCATATTCAAGGCCTTTCCCTGGAGATGCCTTGATATACTTAAGAATACGAATGACTGCATTCCAATGTTCTTGACATGGAGAATTGAGAAATTGACTGACCACACTAACTGCAAAGGAAATATCAAGCCGAGTGACTGTGAGGTAGTTCAATTTTCCAACCAATCTTCTATACTTCTCAGGATCTGAAAAGGGCTTCCCCTGATTTGGTAGAAGCTTCATACTTGGATCCATAGGAGTATCAACAGACTTTGAATTTAACAGAGCAGTTTCTTCAAGAATATCCAGAGCATATTTCCTCTAAGATATCACAACACCCGTTTTAGATTGGGCCACCTCGATTCCTAAGAAGTATCGAAGTTTTCCAAGATCCTTAGTCTGAAAGTGATGACATAAGTGTTGTTTCAATCGAGTGATCTCATGCCGATCACTTCCTGGGATGACAATATCATCCACATATACCACTAGATAAATAGATCCA